TAATGCGCTTGCGCTGGACTGCAAGGTTTCTTTGAACTACAAGGTAAGCAGTTCAAGTTCACCTCAGAAACCCTATACAGGGTCAGTATAAGTTGGAACCTACTCGACAGCACTTAACAACAACAGTAATGCTGCACTGGACCACAAGGTCGATGGTTCAAACCCATTAGCCGCTCCTCGGAAACCCTGTACAGAGTCGCTATGATTACTCGACAGCACTTACCAACAACAACAAATGTTCAATGCCATCAGACGTTTTCCAACTCATAGCAACCCTGTATCGGGTTCCCGAGGAATGGCTGGTGGGTTTGAACCACCGACCTTGCCGTTAGTGCTTATCCTACAGCATGACACCAGGACTTCTGATATATGCGTGTGTATTCTGACCAGGAAACTGACTGATGGTTCTAGGAAGGTCATGTTTTATCCTCTGTGAGCTTCAGTAATACAGAAAAGAGGGTAGATTTTGACACCGTTCCTCAATATTAATAAATGAGTGGCTGTGTAATGCCCTTGATCAAAATGGACTGAGCTGACCGGAGAAAGGATTGTTTCTCTACTGATGGTCAACTTTTTCTTTTTCCTCCTCAAGCATCAGGCTCAGCAGTCTCCATCTCAACGCTGAACAAGCAATGTGCCCTTGACGATGGCCTCTTTCAGTGGTGTGTTTGTGTGTATGCTTAAAAGCAGAGAAATGTTCACTTCGAAGTTGTTCACTTTTAAACAACCTACACTTCTGTCCTTTGAATTCCCATCCTGAGGTTGACAGTGGCTTTTAGGCCATAGAGATTGGAACCAGCTCCTCAATTTTATTTTCTGAGAGAGTGTGTTTCTGTGACAAGCAGTATCCTGAGACCTATACATCCACATTGCCTGAAACCATAAAGCATAATGAGTCTTTGCCTTTGGCAAATTTTTCTTTTTCAAAGCAAATGAATGGGTTTCATTGCATTTTTAAGATGTGTATGTTGTTGTTTCTATTAGCTCTGGTAGCATAATGGCTATGAATCGGGCTGCGAACCACAAGGTCAGCAGTTCGAAACTACCAGCTGATCCGCGGGAGAAAGATGAGGCATTCTGCTCCTGTAAAGATTTACAGCCTCGGAAACCCTGTTCAGGGTCACTATGGGTTGGGACTGACTCAATGGCACTTAACAACAGCAACATGTTGCTGTTTCTATTAGCTGTGGTCACGTTAGGTACTGGCTGATGGCGGCCCCATGTCCATGGGATGGAAGTCTTCCCAATCCTGCCCTATCCTCTTCATTGGTCATAGAGAGAACTGTTGCGATCCATAGGATTTTCACTGGTTGATTTTGGAAAGTAGATTGCCAGGCCTGTCTTCCTAGTCTGTCTCCATCTGGAAGTTGCCCAGAAACGTATTCAACTTCATTGAAACGCACAAGCCGTCAATGACAGGTGATGGCTGGGCATGAGATGCATTGACTGGGAATCAAACCTAGATCTCTTGCATGAAAGGTGAAAACTCTACCACTGAGCCACCATTGCCCCCTTCACTGCCCCAGTGATATAAACATTCAATTTAACGTCAGAACTAGTTAATCATGAATCTCTACAAACAGGTCGTACTTGTCAAGGTTTTCCACCGTGTGTCAGTGATAATAAGTTCCTAGGTATTTGGAACCTAACTAGTAGATTTTTGCTTTATTACCTGAGACCCATTTTCATCACATTTAACCAGAATCCTCAGGAGGGACACTTTCATTGGGGGTCCAGAAGTTCCTTCCTTTAAAAGAAGAGTGGTCCATAGGAATCAGATTTCGATTTTTTTTTTTTTTTCTAAAACCTGGCTAGAACACATTCTGTCAATAAATAACTTAATACTAAGCAACACAGTGGATGAGGACAATCATTTTTCATTCAAGCAAACAGCAGTCATTTCAGGTATCTGGATTTGAAAGACAACTTGAACTTTGGCAGCAATACTTTGATCAGAATGGAATGAGCTGACCAGATATACAAAACACTGAAAGTAATTTTCATTTTCTCAGTGTTATCATTCTGTTTCTGCTAGTACTTTCCTCTTAGGCTTATGAACCATAATGGTTTTAAAACTCATCATCATATGTGTTGCAAAATACTTTGAAGCTATTAAGCATATGAGTACAGTATCTTAAACTTTAAGCCCTAGCGATAATTCTATTAAAGCTTTGTCCATTCAGGAGGTGTTATCTGGACCATTTTGGACAATTTAGTTATCAATTCTCCTTGTGACTGTTACTAGAATATTGTTATTTTTAGTTTACTTGCTTCCAACCATATAGTTTCCCTCAGGTTTAGCAGATAATATAACACGGACTACTGCATTTAAAAACACTGTATGTACTTGAACATAGGCCCCATGGTTTTTGCAGTTTTAGGCATTTTCCTGGGTGTCACTTTGTAAGGGAGACGTTTTCTGGGCCAGGGTGAGTGAGCTCTTGGAGCCCAACATGATTTTAGGGGGCTTCTCACAGCTGTGCTCTTTGACTGGGCTGGCAACAACCTTCTAATGCTGTTATTAACAGCCTTCAAGTCGGCCCTGCCTCATAATGGCCCCTTACATAATGCAATTGGAACGTGTGATCTCTAGGCTTTTCATGGACTGATTTTTAGATGTAAATCTCCAGGCCTTTTTCCTAGTGTGCTTTAGTCTGGAAGCTTCTGCCATTCAGCATCATAACAATACATGAGCTTTTGGAAAACTATTTTGATCAGTGGAGAAATATGAAAAATCTGAAGATGAGTTATTTAAGGTAAAGTTATTTAGGTAAACAATTAACCAATGATAGACAGATGATAGCCACACTTGAAATGCGTCGGCCAGGAATCAAACCAGAAGGGGACAATTCTACCTCTGAAATACCCCTCCATTCTTCCCATTTATTGCTGCTCCTACACTTTACGTAGTCATAAGGTTTTCAGTGACTAAATATTTGGACCGGGCAGTGTTTCATTCTGTTGTGCATAGGGTCGCTATGAGTCGGTACCAACTCAATGGCACCTAATAACTATAAATAACACTTTACCTTAAATAACTCATCTTTAGATTTTTCATATTTCCCCACTGCTCCAAATAGTTTTCCAGAAGCCATAGAAACAAGGAAGAATCATGTACTGAGTCGTATACATAACTCAGATCAAGCACTGATTTGGTGACATGTAGCTCTGCCCCTTTGGGGACTTCCTGGTCCTGGTTTTCCCTCCGTCTAGGACAATTTTCTCCCTGAACACTTCCTCTCTCTCCCTCAGGCCTACAGACCCATGAGCAATCTCTTAGACCCAAGCTTACCTAGTTGGATGGACCCTTACATCAGAATCCTCTAGACTACATTTTAAAAATGCCGGTTCCCTGGCACATCCCAGATGGAATGAGTCAGAATTTCAAGGGTTGCAGGCCTTGTGATCTGCCTTTTTTTCTATACTATTTCAAGTGGTACTTAGGCACATTAAAGGTTGATGACTCCTCCCTTCAGGAAACTGCCCATATCTGGACATGCTGTTTGTAGTTGTCTTTGTGTTGGCTCTGACACTTGGCACTCATATGCACAGAAAACATTGCATGGTCTGGCACCATTCTCACCAACCCTGGTAGATTTGAGTTCCTTGTTAAAGCCCCACTGTGTATTGTGAGTAGCTTTCAACATAGGAACCTCATCTGTTGGCTAATTTTCAGAAGTAGATCACCAGGCCTTTATTCCTAATCTGCTTTCATCTGGAAGTTCCACTGAAATCTGTCCATCGTCAGTCAGTGACACTGCTGATATTTGCAGCCCCAGCATGCAAGCCGCCACAGATCAACAAACTGATAGACAGGCGGTGGTATGTGGGCATGTTTTTGTGAGTAGTCAAATTCATTCTGATGAATAGTGAGTGATTCTGAAGGTTTCAAAATGCCCCATCGGACTTCCAAGGCTGGAATTCTTATGGAAACAGACTGCCCATCCTCTCCCACAGAGTGGATGGTGGGCTTGAACCACAGACTTTTTTGGTTAGCAGATAAGCATGCAATCCTCACACCCCCAGGGCTTCCGTTCTAGAAAGATGTTGCTGTTGTTCGGTGCTGTTCAGACGATTCTGACTCATGGTGACCTTGTGTAGCGTTTCCTAGGAACAGCTGGTGGGTCTGAACTGTCAACCTTGTGGTTCACAGTCCAGTGCTTATCCTACAGTGCCTTACCTGAAGTCCTATCTACATGTTGTTGTTGTTAAGTGCTTCGAGTTGGTTCTGACTCACAATGAACCTGTATAGGACTTCTGAAGAGTGGCTGATGCGTTTGAACAATTAACCTTGCAGTTCAAACCGACCTTGCTATCCAGTGCTTATCCTACAGTGCCACACCAGGACTCCTAACTGGACTTAGAACTGGTTTATTCTTTAGGATGAGAATGAAGTCTTGTGGGTCAAAGAAGAATTACTCAAAGATTAGTTCTTGCATCTAGTTGTTGTCTTAATATTTCCATCGTTGTGACTAGTGTCTATGATTGTGGTGTCTTTGTGCCCCTTCTTTCTCATCCCCAGCCTGCTCTTTTCATCAGCTGTCTTGGTGCAGAAAATTTTAAAACATATCTCAGGTGTGAGATTGAAATTGCTAAATGTCATGGTTCCCAGTCTGCCACTGACTAGCCAAGAGACTGGTTGTACAAGACTCCTTAAGTTTCTGCAGAGTTAACTGAATTTGCTTTATCATTAAACTGGAAAATATCATATGACCTCTCAGTACACATTAAAATTGACAACTCCCTCTCGTCTTCAACATAAAATCATGAGATTTAAAAATAATAATAATAATTGAGATTCTGCAGAATTCATGAACTGTCATTGAATTTCCTGAAATTAAAACAGCATGCAAATAAATGACTGTAAATGTGATTTATGGGGTGATACAGGCATTCAACATATGCTGCAGCTTTTAATTCTTGGTTATTGCCATCAGCAGGGGATTCACTGAAAAACGCCAAGGAAAAAGAACCAAGAGGAGAAGCTTTTGCATGGATAATAAAGGCACCAATAGGGTATGAGTCTGCCTAATGGGGGGTTTGAAAGGGTGATAATTTGGTTTAGAAAACGGGAATTTCAAAGTCACTCCTACTTTCCTCATAATGTATAAGTTTCATATTGGATAGTTTCTTAGTTAATAAATAACTGATTATGTAGTATGTAAATCTACACTGTAACATGAAAAAATGGAGCCAAATAAATTATTTGGTGATGACCAATGAAAAACGAAACTGCTATTCCAACTTAACTTTATAATGTGCGTGTGTATATATATATGGTTCATGGGAGAAAAATGAGGAAGGCTTTCTGCTCCCTCAGAAGATGTAAATCCTCAGAAACCCTATACAGGGTCATTTTGAGTTGGAACCAACTCTATGACACCTAACAACAACATCAATATTTATGTGTGGTTAGCGGCACAGGGTAGAAAATTCAGTTTCATTTTTTGTTTTGAAATCAGTGTCTAGGTTTTTGTTTCAAAAGTTGTCACTTCATGTTATCAATTAAGAATTTGTTCTTGCCACATTTATTTTACTTCCCCATGTGGCAGCATTTTATTTTAGTCCATTCTCAAATGAATTGCCTGAAGGAATTTGCGTTGAAAACTCCTCATCTGCCACTGATTAGATGTGTGACCCTAGAAAACTCATTGTTGTTGTTAGGTGCCATTGAGTTGGTTCCAACTCATAACAACCCTCTGCACAAGAGAACGAAACACTGCGTGGTCCTGCCCCAACCTTACAGTTGTTGTCACTCTTCAGCCCATCGCTGCTACCTCTTGCCAATCCATCTCTTTTGGAAATATCATTGTATGTCTTTTAATCTTAGCTTTCTTACTTATTATACAAGCATCTTAATAGTGACAAGGAAATAATGCCCATTGGATTGCTATAAACCGATTTACATACTCATTTGCCAACTCCCAATGCAGCAACAGGCATGAAGCGTTGCCCAAGCGATTTTCCCAAGTACTGCTGTCTTCAAACCGCTATCCTGAGAAAGATTTGTAATTAATTGAATAACTGCCACAGGGCTACTGATTGATGGATTGCCGCAGCCTAGACACAAGTCACTAATGGTGCGCGTTACAGCTCTATCCAGTCTTGTTTTGTTTTCTCAACACTTGTATCCATATTTTAGATGATGAGGAAGGGGTTGTGGTGGTAACGTGCTGGAGAGTCAGTTCCGACCCATACCAACCCTGCATAGGGCTTCCAAGGCTGTAAATCTTTATGGAAGCAGAAAGCCTCATCTTTCTCCCATGGAATGGCTGGTAATTTTGAGCTGCTGACCTTGAGGTTAGCAGTCCAACTTGTAACCTCTATGCTATCAGAGTTCCATATGAGGAAAGGGACATGCTCATAAATTTTGCAGATGGAAGGACAGTAAACACAGTGCCAGAAATATGGTTGTTTGTTCAACCCCAGTATTACTTAGGTTAGGGTTCAATCTGCTATGCCAGAAACTCTAAAATATGAGTAGTGTACTTTTTAACAGAGGAAGCATAAGTTGCAAGCATATCTTTCACTTGCATTCCATTGACAAGAACATGGCTACACCGAGCAGCAAGAGAGGCTGGGAAATGCAGCTTTTGTAGCTCCAGAACCCACTACAATAGTCAGGAGCCACAGCAGGCTACTGAGCCCCTGACACATGCCTCGTCCCAAATGAAATGCCCTCTAACTGTAAAATACACACTGCACTTCAAAATTTACAATGAAAAACATAAGGTAGAAT